ATTACCCAAAATAACACTGCCGCGTCATTATGGTTACAAAATTCTATATACAAATTCTGGTGGAATAGCATTTTCCTTGGAATAAATCTGTTTTTTTGGATGAATAAGTCATAAAATAAAAACAAAAAACTTGCACAAAATACAAGGAGCATACCCCAGGCCCTAACAGAACTATACAAAAACCAATAAAAATTGGACAGCAACAATGCAGACCCGTCCCAAAAAGGATGAGGGCCCACAAGGACCAAAACAAACAACCTGTTAGAACATCAAAACTTCAACCAAAACCTAATAGAAATATCTGCAGAAGCAACAAATAACACACTAAGGAGAATGTTCATGGGCCCCATAGACAAAATATGTGGGCCATGAACATATCTATCAGCAAAGACACCTAAATGAAATAACATCCCTTGCACATCCCGCAAGGGTAGGCTCAAAAAGAGATTAGAGAGTTTGATACAAATTCGGAAAATATAAATATACAAAACAACAAAAACAACTTTCTTTGTCACAAAAGACGAAAACATGGCCTGCACTTTGCTATTACACTTGCCAGCAGCAGCGAAAATAGCCAAACATAGCCGTAAACCTGCCATCATCTTGAACAGCCGCAACCCAAATCTTAAAGTTTGGAGATTTAACAAAACCTGTCCAACCATATAGATAATGAGTGAGCAGCCAAACAGAAACCTGAATATGTAAAGGATAAATGGTATAATGCATATAATGTAGGGGGCTCACAACACTCAACCCACAATATATAGCCTCACACCACTCGGCAGATAACGAATAACACTTAATATATAGTCTCTCAACACTCAACCCACAAGAGAAGGTCCCATTATACAACTTCAGCTCCATAAAACACCTGCAAAAAAGAGTAATAGCAGTATATATATTTGTCACCATTAGAAAACACTCTGTGGTCAGTGGAATGGAAGGTGTATTTGGCTACCAAAACTCAACCCTCAATTTATGGTAAATAGCAACACTCAATCCAGCATGTAAGCACTGCAAAATTAGCAAACAGTTATATAACCCACAGTTTGTGCTCACAAGCCACTCAGCCCACATTATCTGATCTTACATCACTCAAAGTTCTTCTGCTACCATCACTACCTCTCTCTTTCAAGATAGAAGTAGGTAGCCTCCACTTGTTTAGAAACCAGCTGTCATTAGAATGATTTTTCAAGTTGGTTATGGACAACATTCTAAACCTAATCATATCCACAATCCTCTTTATAACATCATCTTCAGGGTAAGCATCATTGTTAAAAATTTTGTTATTTCTAGCAAGCCACAATTGGTAAAAAGTGCAAGTGAACCCAAGTCTGGAAATGATAGCACCCACAGAATTACCCTTAACAAGTTTAGAAATATGATTGACCAATTCAGACCATTCAAGACAGGGCCAGGATACATAAAGCCTAGACTGAAGCTCCTTCCAAACAATATCCGAAAAAGGACAGTGGAAAAAAAGATGGTTGTGATCCTCATAATGGTTATGACAGAAATCACAATTACCAGTATGCGTATAACCAAAACGAGATAACCTGTCCCGAGTGTAAAGACGACCACGAATAGCCATCCAAGTCACAAAACTGGCTTTCGGGATACTATGATTACGCCAAAGCAGACCTGCCCAAGAGACATTGGCAAAAGACTTTCTCCAGGAATTCCAAGTGGAATTAATAGAGAACTTGCCATCAGTAGCAGGGAGCCAAACACTACTGTCAGTGACATGGCTAGGAACCAGAGAAGGGGGAGTGGAGTCAATTAACTCCTTTAATACCCAAGAAGCAGCACGAGGCCATTTCCAGGAATTATTTTCAACAATAACATTGACCTTAGAATTATCAGGAAGGGTATGGATAATCCTAGCCCCAAACCTATCATACAAAGAACCTAATGGATGCCAATTGTCATGCCACAGAAAAACATTGCCCCCATCCCCAATGATGTGTTTAATAAGGGGGAAAACAAGCGGCCTAAGCGACAAGATTTTCCTCCAAACCCAGGAAGGGTCGCTAGGAACTTTCACTCTCCAAAAGCTCATACCTTTAAGAAGATAGGAATGGACCCAATGACACCACATAGATTGCACACCACCCAAGAATAAAAACCAAACAGGCTTAGCCACAGCGGCTTTGTTCCAAACATCCAGAGATTTAAATCCCAAACCTCCTTCATTCTTAGGAGCACAAACCTGATCCCAAGACACTTTAGCCCCAAACTTACTAAGCACACTAACAGACCAAAAGAAAGATCTTAAGAGGCTCTCAATCTCCTTAATAATCTTCTTAGGAAGAATAAACAAGGAAGTCCAGTTCACTTGCATAGAGAAGAGAATAGATTGAATCAATTGACTCCTACCAGCATAGGAAAGACACTTACTAGTCCAGCTCTTAATTTTCTTGGTGATCCTCTCCACCAATTGGTGACAATCCGAGGCCTTCAGCTTAGTTGTGATAAGAGGGACGCCCAAGTATCTAACGGGAAAGACACCCTCAGCGAAATTAACAATGTTGATGATATTCTCCCTAAGCTAACTGTTACACCCAGAGAAAAATATGTGGCTTTTACTGGGACTAGGAGAGAGCCCCGAGAGGGATTGAAATTCATCCAGACCTTGTTTAATGACTCTAACAGTGGAGACATCACCTCTACAAAAAATCATAAGATCATCGGCAAAACAAAGATTGATGATCTTCGTTTTCTCACACCGCCAATGAAATCTAAAATCTGGGAGGGTAGACTTCTCAGCAAGAATTCTCGCAAGGATCTCCATCACAATCACAAACAAGTAAGGGGATATAGGATCCCCTTGCCAGAGACCCCTAGCCCCTTTAAAGTACCCATAGAGACTACCATTGAGACAAATGGAGAAAGAAGGGCTGTCATACAAGCCTTAATCCAATGGATAAAGACAGGAGGAAAGCCCATAGCTCTAAGAACATCCAAAACAAAGTCCCATCTAACATTATCATAAGCTTTCATAATATCCACTTTCATGGTGCATTTAGGGGTGGAAGAATTCTTATGATGGCCTCTCATTAATTCCTGCGAAAGGAAGATGTTATCGGAAATACGCCGCCCTTGAACAAAAGCCGATTGCACAGGGTCGACCAAATCAGGTAACACAACCTTAATCCTGTTAGCAATAATTTTGGAAATGCATTTATACACCGTATTGCAACAAGATATGGGTCTAAAATCCCCAACTTTCTTAGCATTAGGGATCTTAGGGATGAGAGCTATAGTAGTACTATTCAGCTCTTGAAGAAGCTCACCAGATCTGAAGAAAGATCTAATGGCTTCAGTGACCTCCTTGCCAACCACCTCCCAAGATTTCTTAAAGAAGCTAGCAGAGTAACCATTCGGACTAGGGGCTTTATTGGATTTAAGAGACCAAAAAACATCATAAATCTCTTTATCAGTAACCTCACTGGATAACATCTCAGACTGACAACTAGAAACTCTATTCTTGACGAGAGAATTGATTCTCTCATACCCAAGATACTCATCAGAGAAAGGCTTACCAAAAAGGTCAGTAAAAGCATTGACAAAGGTAGCCTGAACATCATCACAATTGGTAATCTTAACACCATTGTTTAATACAACGCTGATAATTCTACCTCTATTGATATTACCTTTGATGCTTCTAAAAAAGAATTTAGAATTCCTATCACCAAGACCCAACCACTGAACTCTGGATTTTTGTTGGGCCAAACTCTCCTCAACATTACTAAGGTCGACATATTTAGTATAGGCAATTCTCTCCAAAGATTGGAGAGTCAGGTTCAAAGGATCTCTATCCAGCTTGATTTGGGAAATCTCAAGGTTAGCTTTGGCATTAAGGACTCTAGTGGAGATATCATTGAAGTCCTTTTTGTTAAGGCTCTTCAAGATAGGCTTAAGCGTACGGAGTTTTTGACAAACCCGAAACATAGGGGAGCCCTTAACATACTTACACCACATCCCAGACACTTTAGGGATGAACTCCTCATGACTAGCCCAAAAATCAAAAAATTTGAAAGGCTTTTTGGCACTCGGAATTTTAGGGTCCATAATAACAATAGCAGGAGAGTGATTCGACACCCCCGAAGGCAAAAAGGTGGCAGTAGAATTAGGACACAGATTGAGCCAATGTTCATTGACTAAAACCCTATCAATCTTAGAAGCAATGAAATCACCATCACCTCTTTTGTTAGCCCAAGGAAATTGACATCCGGTGTAAGACAAATCAACAAGATCCGATGCCAGGATGGAATTGTTAAAAGCCATTTTGGCATTGGACCAGTTAGTATTACCCCCAATTTTTTCGTGAACATAACGAATAGCATTGAAATCCCCCATGCAGATAGAAGGAGACTGAGAGTATAAGCCAGCCAATTCAGACAATTCAGCAAAAAAAGGAACCCGTAGTTCATGTGTATTCTCAGCATAAACAAAGAGAGCAAAGAAAATAGCATCCTTATCCAAAACAGTCACCTTACAAAATATGAACTGATTAGTCATTTTAAACTCAAGGATATCACAAAAATTGGGGTCCCAGCAGACCCATATTCTAGCCTTGCCACCAGATTGTGAGTTAGTCAAAAGTTTCCAATTTTTAAAGCATTTTTCAAAAAACTTATATTCATTATTGGCTTTAATTTTGGTTTCCAAAACACCCATGATGTTAATATTCTCTTTTTCTACAAAAGCCCTGATTTCTTTTTTGTTTAGAGGGGTTCAGCAGACCCATATTCTAGCCTTGCCACCAGATTGTGAGTTAGTCAAAAGTTTCCAATTTTTAAAGCATTTTTCAAAAAACTTAGATTCATTATTGGCTTTAATTTTGGTTTCCAAAACACCCATGATGTTAATATTCTCTTTTTCTACAAAAGCCCTGATTTCTTTTTGTTTAGAGGGGTTATTAAGCCCTCTGATATTCCAAGAAGCTAACTTAGTCATCATGAGGAACAAAACAAAATAACTCACAATCAAGCACAAATTTACCTCTTCTTTTTCTTCTGGCTGCCTGTCTTGCCAGAAGCCTTTTTACCTTGAAGTGGAGTTTCCACACCTTTGTATTTTTGTTGTGGACCAAAATCTTCAATCTCATTACTGCCCGAAGGTTTCAAAGGAGTAACTACCTGCATATCTGCTTCCACTTCCTCCAAATTTTCGGATGCTGCTGGACTAACCAAACTAGCAATTTGATGTATCATTGAGTGGGAGGTAGTCACTGGGTCAGGAGCATGCAAACTCACTTTAAGCTCTACGTCAGCTCGATTTTCATTTACTTCAGATTGGGTAGCCACAACAGGAGTTAAGTTTTCCCCAGCCTTTCTCTTCCCTTTATCCTTCACAGTTTTCCAACCTTCATCTTCCCCTAGGTTAGTCTCTGTGGCTTTCTGAAGTTCAATAAGATGAGAGACCTGGGCTGATACACAGGCTTTTGTTTCATGCCCAAATACCCCACAATGAGAACAACTAACCGGAACACCTTGATATTCCACTCGAATTTCCACCTTAACGCCCTCGCATTGAATAAAAAAGCTGTCTGGTAATGGGGATTCGGCTTTGATATCCACACATACCCTAGCAAAAGAAACCCTTGTACCAAAAGAGGTGAGCTGATCCATAAACCGAGGAACCCCTATCGCACTTGCTATTCTGCTAAGACCATCAGTGCTCCAAAATTCCATAGGCACGTTATAAAATTTTACCCATACTGGGATTTCAGTAAGAGCTTCTTTGGTGAGCTTCATCATTCTGTGCCACTGTTTCAGAATCAACAGTATACCCCCAACATACCAAGGGCCTCTATCAATAACCTTTTTACAACTATCAATGTGGTCAAAAATAAAAAACATGAACCCCTCTTCATTCATTCAGACTTCCTCAAGACCCAAGTTCTTCCACATATTGAAGGCATTATTTTTTATAAAAGTGAAAGACAAACTTCTATCGATAAAATACCCAACCAAACACGATTCCCAAATAGGCAAAACAGATGGAACTGGGAGATCAATCAAGATCGAATCAGAAGAGAATGAAGGTTGGACAAAATGAAGCTTTACCTCAGAGTGAACTGGAGTAGATGCGACATTAGCCCAAGATCGGGCCCCCGTGACATTCTGTGGACGGTTGACCCACACGTTGCCCCTACCACCTGGACCTCCACGGAAACTAGGGTTAGCCCCTTCGGCCTTGCATACCACCACGATTACCTTCAAGAGGGGTTTGCTCTCTTTCTATCACTGGACCTCGGTTAGGAATAGCCCCCGCCGAGCAATCGCCAATAATAGAGGGACAATCTGCCGAATCGGAAATCCCTAGACCCCCTCATCCGAAGAAGAGGCTATGTCCACATTTGTAGCATCAGTAGAACGAGAAAACCCTCTAGCTCTAGCCATGACCAAACTATCTTGAACCCCCTTAACTCGAGCATCATTCCCTACCTCAACCAAATCGGCCCACTTCAGGCTGAGATCTGTCAACGACGACGTCACAGCAACGCTACGGGATGGTGTCGGATGGACCGTTGAAGGCTCATGCTTCAGATCTTCGAGCCGATCTGTAATATCTTGAACCGACATAGGAGGAATCTCCTTCAATCCTAGTTTACTGAGAAGATCGTTGTTCACAAGAGGAGTTGTGATTAGAGCACTCTCTCTCATAACATCAGACTTAACAACTTCACATAGAGTATTATCCCCACTCAACGGGTAACCCACTTCGTTTTTCCCTAATGATCCAATAGGAAGCTCCGATCCAATATCGGCCACTGTAGTTACAACACTAGATTCAATGAGACATCCTTGATCACGCAGTTCAATGAAGTATTGAATGCAGAAACCCTAGAACCAAAAGATTCTAGAGAGAAGGAAGAGCTTCTCACTCTACATGATCAATGGTGCTTCGGAATAAATCTGTTCACTTTACTTTTTAGCATTAGAGATGAGTTTTGATTTCTGTTGCATTTGTAATTAGAACATTCATATATTTGTGGGATCATTTTGGTTATCATAAATTTTATCCCTTGTGTGTTTTGTAATTTCTTGACTGTAATGTTAGTTTGAAATGTTTTCTTTTTTTTCCAGGTTGCTCCATTTTCCCTCTAGTTGATTTTTTTCCCTGAACATCTTTGTTCTGAATTTTGACTGGATAAATATTCATCGGCCATTTGATATGAAGTACTAGTTGTCTTAGCAATCTTGAGCAATGTTGCTTCATGTTCTTTTTGTTTCCTAGTATGGTTTGTAATTCGCATTTCCATTTGATGCATGTGCATCGATGGATATTTCCATTTACCAGATTGGAAGTGATATGATCTTCTGCAGTTCTAGTTGCTTCTGCAATGGTATGATCTTCTTCTTCTGGTGCCTCATACTGTATCTAACAGAGTGATGGAACACAAAGTTCTTTGATCTCGATATCATTGTGAAGACTCGAATCAACGGTACCTTACTTAGTTCTTAACAATTTTTAATTTGCATGGTTATTGTTGTGTGTTAGTTTTGTGGTTTTGAATTTGAATATATGTATATATGCATGTGTGTCTATATATATACTGAGAAATGGTTTGATTGTAGACTCCAAAGTTCAACACAGTTGTCAAGTCATCTCTGAAATTCTATGCGTTGGTATGATCAATCTTCATGTTCTATGTTGATTTAATGCTTGCATTTATCATTTTTTAATTGAATTGCGAGAAAAAAGATTTTACTTTGTTTCGATTTAATTCTTCTCAATTGTGGTCTATATTTGTTCTTCTTTATAGTAAAATTATTTTACTCATTTCTCATGAATTTCCAAATACCGCTACAGACATTACCATAGGTCATAACCAAAATAATAAAGATTTGCCCAAGGTTTAATGAGCTCAAATGAAGCTAGGAGAATAGGACTTTGATGGAACAAGTAATAGAGACATTTGCTAGAAAAAATAAGTTGTTGATTTGAGGAATAAAAAAAATGGAGCTTTTTTCTGTAGTAAATTTTTTTGATGGAAAACAGAGTTGTTGCTCTTGCTGGTTAGATACATAAGTAATGTTTTTATTTCATAGAATTTTGAGATATATTAATAATGTAATTGTGGGAATTTTCTACTGTAACAATAAATTCTTATGTAGTTCCTATGTTAGGAATTTGTGCCATTCAACTCATAAAAATCTTAAACATAGTTGTTTTGCCATTAATATATTCTCTTTCTTTTAGGTTGATTTGAGATGACGTGAACACTTAAAATTCTTTGCTTAGATGATTGAGAATTTGAATAAGAAAAAAAGAAAAAGAAAACTGAGGCTTTGTTTTTGTCCTTTGAATAGCAATCTAGGAAGCACGAAGACAACAACAAAGTAATTAAAAAAGAAGGTTCTATTAAGGTGAAGTGCTTTGCCTATATGCCTTTAATGTGATGGAATAAGTTTTTGTTTAATTGTAGTGCTAGACTTTTTCATGCCATTGTAAGTCACAATATATCTGCTTAGTAAAATCATAAAACATGATTATAGTAAAGATTTTAAAAGGAAACTCTGTTTTAGCAAAGTTGACAGTAAGCAGGCTTTGATTTGCCAAAACATCCAAAATCTAGGTTGTCGTCCATGTCTCCCTTCACGACAAAGATAAAATAAAATAAAAAATTCAGGCCTTTTTTAAATCCCAAGAAAAGTTTTAAAAAAAACACCAACAAAAACTTACCAACTTTTTTCCCAATAAAGGGATCAAAATTTTCTAAGTTATGGTAGAATAGAATCTGATAATTGTTGGAACAATCTTATGTATAAAATAAATAATGTGAAACCAAATCAAACAAATAAAAATAAATTACTTACAGAATTTATTTATCGTACCAAAAAAGTACAAAAAGATCAAGTTAGGTGTGTGATATTCTGTCCTTAAGACAGATTCGTCCCGCTTTGGTGTTTACAAATTAATGGCGTTTATCTCTCAAGATACAATGATCTACACAAATTGTAGTAGCACTCCAAATAATCTGTATGGCGAACTAGAACCTGCGTTCTATACTCTCAAAATTTTCTCTAAAAAACTAATATAAAGAACAATGCAAAGAGAGAACAAAAACGGGAAGAGAGTATGATTTTTGAATGTGAAAATCTACTGGAAATAATCTCCATTTATAGGAAAATTGGTGACCATTGGATAGATCCGAACAGGTATGATTCAAACCGAATAGGTATGTTTTTGAAATGAACAGATCTGGTTCAAACTGAATAGGTATGACTTGTTTGAACCTGCTGGAATTTAATCTGTCCGTGGGACTATTTGAACCTGCTGAAATGGACTCGAAAAAGGCATTGTATGGACAAAAAATTAATTAAAATTTTATTTGAACCTGCTGAAATGGACTCGAAAAAGGCATTGTATGGACAAAAAATTGAATTCAAATTTTAGCGCAAAATTTTAATTAATTTTGTTTAGAAAAAAATAAATTTCCCATAAGAATTTTTTAGAAAAAAAGTCAAATAAATTTTATCCAAAAAATTAATATTAGAACTGACCCGACCCACACTCTACATCCGCGCTTAACACGGCTCGGCCAATCGGAAGGCGGCGGTGGCGCGCTCGTGCGTGTGGTGGTTTGAGCCAAAGGTCTCTTTGTCCATAACTCATCCCTTCTACAAACTTGGTATCAATTGGGGCCCAATTCAAGTGTTGTCACCTAGAACTTATAGACACATATAAGTTCTTTTAACTTTCCAATATAAGACAAGCTTTACAAGGAAACCCACATTTTATTATTTAATTGTCTATTTTACGGACTCGAAAACAACGTCAACTTCTCATTTACTCATAAATGGTTTTGACGAACTATCTTCACCGTGTGACTTGCCATGTGGCAAGGAACACGTCACTTTTTTGGACCCACCCCAAAAGAAATGTGAACCCCACTCAAATTTGGGCTCAAAGTTGGCCAAAAAATAAGCCTATAAAACCATTATTTTCAACAATCCCTCACATGAATGGAATTTGACAGAAAGAAAATGCAATAACATGATCTAATTATTGAGAGTACAGAAATTGAAAATATTCTGCAAATGATAGATAGCTTTTGGTTTTGATCCTTCTCTTGTAAGACACTATCAGATTTACTAGCTAACCAGTGGACATGATATCTTGAACTATTAAACCATTTGTGTAAACCAAGACAATAGAACTCACACAGTATATTACCAGACACAATTTAGTTCTTACTATTGTGTTCATTTTGGCTCTGAACAACCTGGTCTTTCATGAGTGCTCTAGAGAATTGTAGCCCTTCACAAATCTCATAGAACCAGCCCAGTTCACACTCATATAGATGATTCTTATAAGAGTATCCTGCCATACTCCACTAAGTATTCCTAGATATAAGAATCATTAAAAGTATTACATAATCTAAAACGCTGCAGACATCACTATTTCATCATAAAAATGGGTAAGAGTTTGACTCCCCAATGATTCTTATGAGTTATACACAACTCGGTTGTCCCTTTGAACCTAGATCTTAGGATTTCCAGTCAACTAGATTGGATTGTTGTTGTGGTAACTCTTTTTAAACAGGCTTAAATCTCATTCCCCTCGATGAATTTTCAACTAACTCTCTTACTAACCCTTTAGTTAGTGGATCCGCTATGTTGTCTGTCGACTTCACATATTCAATGGAAATAATTCTATTAGAGAGTAGTTGTCTCGCGGTGTTATGTCGACGACGAATGTGTCGTGACTTACTTTATATATATGACTCTGTGCTTTATTTATTGCTGATTGACGATCTGTAACAACCCTCACTACTGTTTACCGTTAAACTACCGATTACTGCTAAACTCAGACTAATTATGAAAAGTAATTGAACTGATTAAAATACTGAACTGGCTGACCGAAATCT